GACAAGCAAAGTCAATGGGGAAGGCAACTTCACTTAACAACCATGCTAGTTACTTAACAATTGCAGTGATTCACTTAACTGTGGCAAAAGAGGTCGTAAAATGGGGCAAAGCCCACTTAACCACTGTCTTGCTAGCAACAGAAATTTTGGGATCAATTGTGGTTGTAAATCGAGGACTACCTGTAGAGGCAAACCATAGGTGTGAAAAGACTCCACATGTAATTTGACTATTGGTACTAATACATCAAGGGGCTCAGTGATGGGTCAGTGGTTAGAGCTTATCCGGGTTCGAGACCCAAGGTGTGAGTGGGTTCCTGTTACTTGTCCCAGTCCTGCCCAACTAGCAGTTTGGAAGCATGCAAATGCAAGTAGATTAACAGGTACCACTTCGGTGGAAAGATAACAGCGTTCCGTGCACCTTTGGCATGTAGCCCACCTGGCCATGTGACAGGAAAATGTCTTTGGATAATGTTGACTCTCTTGGCCAAGAAACGGAGATGAACACCATGCCCTAGTTCAGTGATGGCGAACCTTTTAGAGACCGAGTGCCCAAAAATTGGCCCCGCCCCTGCTCCACCCCCTGCCCACCCCCGCTCTGCCCCCACCCCAACCCCGCTTGCCCACAGCACCACTCACCACCTCAGGGCCTGCCGCAGATTGCCCAGGCAGCCCAGCAGCGCTATGGCGGCCACATGCTCTGCCTGCGCCCTGCAGCATCAACTGCATGATGGGGTGTGAGGGCAGAGTCTTGTCTACGCTGCCTGGCTGCCATGTCCTTGGCTGCGCTGCTCCGTGTGGGCCACGCTCAAGGGTGAGTCTCCTTCAGGGGGGCTGCTGGAAAGGGGAGGCAAGGCTGGGGCAACGGCACGTGTGCCCACAAAGAGGGCTCCGAGTGCCGCCTCTGGCACCCGTGCCATAGGTTCGCCACCACTGCCCTAGTTGGACATGACTGGACAGAGGAAACTTTCTTTTTACTCATACACCAAGCTGCACAACCAATATTAAATTAAGCCATAATTTGTTTAACCTTGGCTTATTAAATAATTCACAGGCACCAGTAAGCCATATACCATGGTTTACAAGTATATTGGCTAGATTCACACATTATGTTAAGCAAAAACCAAACTAATCACAATATTACTTATTACAGCTGATTAATATTTGGCTTCCTTTCCTTTCTATTGCTGTATTTATCTCCAGTTTTCAGCTACGGTCTCCTTCCTCATCTGCTTGTCCCTTCACGTCATACTTTTCTGCATCCTATTTTCAACTGTTTCAGAGTAAACCAGTTGTTTTGCCCCACCCACAACAACAGTGTTGATCATTATCCTTTACATTTCTAAAAATAAAATGCATTTAATGCATCTATAAATAATGGCTTCTTGATGCAATTCCAATTGATTGGAATGCTTCTTCCCTAGAAACAGCATGCACAATTCTGCTATTAAACTAGACACTACAATGGTCATAAATATGAATCAGCTGCTAAGCATCTGCATTTTGATCATGTGACCACGGGGATGCTGCAAAGGTCGTAACTGAAAAATGGTCGTAAGTCCCTTTTTTCAGAGCCATTGTAACACTGAACGGTCACTAAATGAATCTTTGTAAGTCAAGGACTACCTGTATTGTTTAATTCTGTACATTGCTTGGAAAGGAACTGTAAGAGAGGTAGTAGTATAAATATTTTACATAAACAAAATAAATTCATGAGATTTAATAAAATTAAATCTCAATCTTGAGACTGTCATTCTAGTTCTTCTGTAATCTTCTTATATGTTGTAATAATTCCCAGAATTCCTACCTAGAAGTCTAGGAAAGGTGTTCCACAATGCTTACCTCACTGGCCACTGTATTATAGAGCAGGGGTCCCCAACCCCCAGGCCATGAACTGGTAGTGGTCTGTGGCCTGTTAGGAACCAGGCTGCACAGCTGGAGATGAGCAGCGGGTGAGTGAGCAAACCGAAACCATCCCCCCCCCAATTCGTGGAGAAATCCTATTATGTGACTAAATGCAATCCTATCATCCCTTGTAGCCATGAGCAGAAGAAAGCTACAATCATCCCAGATTCCCTAAACATGTGAACTCAGCTGAGATAAACAGCTGATATGGACAGAAATAAAATACAAGTATGATGGAGAATGAAGGATTACATTATAACAGTAGCCATAGCTTGGAGTACTTGAAAAGCTGAGAAGTGAGCTAGATGTGACCAGATTATCAGTGATCATTAGCAAGGCCACTCCAATACATCTTCAATATTCAGAGCCTTTTTAAAAAACACACACACGATGGAATGTCTCAGCAGATGGCAATGCCATAACATCTTCTCTTGGTTTGGAAGGTAAGCAGAATTGGGTAGGGTGTATCTGGGCTGCGAGAGAGACTGGGAAAAGAAAAACAAGGAAAGCACTTCTGTCCTCTTGCCAAGAAAATTACAGGGTCCTCTATTGTAAGACCTGTCACCTTATAATAGAATCGTAGATAAAAGGCAGATTAACTCAATAGACAAATATTTTTATGGCTGCAAATACGAAAACATCTGCCAGGGTGGAGTCATATCACTAATTCTACTTTTATCTTTTTGCTTTTGTTTTATTTCAATATGCTGATTTGTGATCACAGTAATATAATCTGAGTTGAGATTAGATACCAGGTTTGCCCTAAAATTAGGCTTCTAATCTTTCCGTTAGGAGCTGGCAGGCTATAATATTAACAACATTCTGAGTTTGACAGTCATTTGGTTAACACTTTTACTGTTAGCAAGAACAGGGGATCTCCACTGAATGCAACCTGCAATAGAAAACCAAGTTTCCTCTCCCTGTTTGGATAGTAAGATTTGGGACATGCTGCTTTGAAGAAACAAAAGGCAGATATGAGCTATACCCGTCTCCGGATTCTAGATGTGCTAGCCTCAAACCATGTTCCCAGTTTCTAAATATATTTCCATATTAATTAAGAAACCACCATGCAGACTGCTAAACAATTTTTCTATTATCTGGATATCAACAAGCCTAGACTTTCAAGCAACTAAGTTGCCAAATGTTATTCCAATCCTTCTAGGTTCTTGGAAAATCACTGTTACTAGAAAAATAAAATGTTTTATACTTTAGTTTCAATGCAATATGCAAAGATTTACATCATGCCAATCTTCTGAGATTCAGTGAAACATTAAAATTAAGGAATAATAAGTAGTTCTGAGAATCTGGTAGCTAAATAAGTGCATACAAAGTGGGCAGAGAAAGTAAAAAAGTAAGATCATAAATAAATGATTTGTATCACCAAAATCATATAGTTCTATAGTACTGCTTCAGATTTTGTCCTGGTTTAACTCTTCCACTTGACATACTTATATTGCATTAATATGTACTTGGGATTTTTTTTCTCCCATGGAAACAGTAATCTATGATAAGAGAGCAACAAATGTTTTGTACATTCAAGTTATTGCCTCTTATATCAGGCAGGCATTCCTGGACCAGCTGTTCAAAATCCTAAACGGAAATTGCAGATCTTTTTTTTTTTTTTTGGCCTTTAAAAATATACAGAAACTCATCTTGGCAGAATAATACAAGTGGTTTTCCATTGCTTTCTTTTAGGATGTTTTCTTGACTTTCCAGTCTAACTACAGTCCTGAATCTCCCTGTTGGTTTCCCTTCCAAGTACTAGCCAGGGCTGAGATGCTTAATTTCTAGATCAGTCAGTGTCAGCTAGATGTTGCCTCCTGGTTCAATATTTTGCCTATTTGTCAAACTTAGTTTGGCACAGAGTCGTAATATATCTCTCCTTTCTAGCTTAGTCAGCCACACCTTGAAAGTCAGGGAATGTTCTGGAATGGCCTGCAATGCTGTAGGAGAAGAACTAGTGGACAGAATTTGGAAGTGTACTTATTATAACCTTGAGTCCTTTGAAATGCTTTAGATCTGTAGTTAAGAAGACAAGACAAACCAAGAAATATTCTGTTGTGGTTTCCTTTTCTTTTATTTCCTTTGCTAAAACAAACAGAGCAAAAGCCATAGACAATTTTTTGTATAAGAAGACAAGTCCTGGTAACTCCAAAAAAAAAAAAAAAAACCTGAAATATATAAAGACGTATGATGAATACATTCAAACCTGCTAAGACAAAGAAACACCCATGTCTATCTTCTATCTTTGATCAATGTATCCAGTGAAAATAAAGCAAAAGTATTTCATTTCAGAAAAGGACATAAAACCTGCCTAAATTGGGCCTGCAGGCCAGATTCTCCCCATGCTGTCATTAAATTATTGTGCCTTGCTCAGAATCAACTACTGGAAGAAGGCAAAAGGCCAGTCCTTAGACATTAATCTGCATTTTCTGCCTAAAAGAATGGCCTACATGGCTTAAAAAAACCCCTCCCCTAAATTTCTTCTCTACAATGTTTGTATATTTTAAATAGAAATAGCCAAAGAAACATAAACAGTATCTGTTCAGTTTTTTACTGTGATAGGAAAGAATTTCCAGCATAATGTTTGAATGAAAGGGGAAGAAAACAACCTTTGCAGCAAGAAAGATTAAATGAAGGCAACATGCAAACAACCCGAAGCATGTATGGTGAAATACTACTTCCAAACCTAAGCTGACTGAAGGATATCGTCTCAAGACAAAGCACTGTTACTCACAATTTTAGAAAAGCCTACAAAATATAAATAGGTGAACATCTGCCCCCACCCCCCATGGATTGGAGCTGACCCTTAGAAAAAGCCTCAGTGCAGAACAGCGATCTATCTTCCCCCACCATGTAACAGGGACTGGTGGTTTCTAAGACAGACATCCACAGTTAAATACAGAGCTATTGTATATTGGTATTATTAAACACTAACACAAAGATGGTATCACAGCATCCTGGGCTCCTTCATGCAAGCTATTCAATGCCCTGTCAAAATTGAGAAGCACAGTACATTAAAACACCAGACCAAATATTTTCAGGCTTAACAGATCACATGCAATTTTTCAATACACTACAATTTATTCCTTAAATACCTTATGTCATCTGCTGCAAAATCAGGAAATAAAGAGGTTCCTTAATGCTTGTGTCACCCTCTAAAGTAGCGAGTCCTGCCTGTCATCAGCTTCCATGGAACTTGCCCAATCAAAAGACTCCCAGGGCTTTTAAGATTGTCTACTTTATTCCGCTGGAATACAACAGACACCCTAAATATTAAACTCCATCAGAACACATTTTCTTTCCCTCAACTGTTTATCCTCTATCCTTAGTTATTATTTTCCATGACTGTACATTCATAATACCAATTGTCAGCCACGACAGGGTGGATTGCTGTAACTTCACAATGCACATAAAATTCCAGGGTTACTGATGATTTCCTGTTTTAGGAAGTCACTGTTTCTAGCAAAATAACCCCCAACGCAAACAAAAATAAAAGTCCTCCAATACCTTCTTTAAGAGCCTTTGTTCTTCCCTTTGCCATTTCATTACTGCTTCATCTTACTTCCCACTCCCTTTCCCTGGAGCCTCCAGCTTCAGCATAAGATGCAAAATGTCTGCTCTTTATCTAGGTATACATTTCTTTTTTTTTTTTTTTAGAGAAGGAAAGCGAATATTATCCACAATCTAAGGCTGTGAAGCTTTGAGTTAGGAGGAGACATTGCTTACCAGCTGATGCACTGTCCATCCGGTTCCTATTTGAATGTCATTAATGTGAGAATATTGCAATTTAGCCTACTAGTAATCCACTGGAGTTCTGCAAACCTTTTGAAACAGATCCCCTCCTCTGGATTGCTAAAATGTTCAGCGCAAGATTATTTAATTAGCAAAATTCACAGGATGTCAGGAAGACGTACATATGCTAATTTGTATAAAATGTACAGTCTGTCTTAAAACTGTCTTTGACTTCCAGATCAAAGCAAGGTTATCTCATCTGAGCCAACAAAAAAAAAGAGAAAAGGGATAAGAAGTCATGTTGATAGGATGGAGGAAAAAGATGTTAAAAGTTTAATGATCAAGTAATTCAAAACAGCTCACTGCTATATGGATCCCAATTTATGTCTATCGTATGGGGCCCTCTTCTTTTATGATTAAACAGTAGCAAGGAAATATCTTCCTATAAGGTGTATAAAAAAAAAGACTGATTATGGTTAAGTCTTTGTAAATAAGAGTTCTAATCCTAGGTTATCTGAAATCAGTTTAACAGCATTTCCTCTCTTAACTCAGACTACGGGTTATTCTCTAGTGTGTCTCGGTATGGAATCACACACTGTGTTCAGGCTTTGTTACCATGTTATGCCCATGCTCAGATTGTTACACCCTTAAGAAGCACTGCAGCTCACCTTGTGTATTTTGCCTTGTGACAATTTTTTAAATGCCAATGATGCCGATGAAGGTTGCACAAGCACAGCAAACCTGAAAGAGTTAAAGGCAGCTCTAATCAATAGGCCTGAAAGCAAAACAAGAGCATGCCTCTTAAAGCTTATTTTGCAAAGGCTTTCATGCGCAATTTTACAACAACACTGTTTTTTTGGCCTTTTGCACAGATAGATATACGCAGACACAGATTTCATTTTTTTTCCAGAAAAGAAATCCACAACACAACCACAGTTAAAAAAAGAAAGAGACAGACAGAGCAAAGTAGCAATCCTGAGCCACATGCATAAAAGGGAAATGCAATCCAACCCATTTTTATTTTGCTGTTTAAAAACAAAACAAGCACCAAGATATCAAAGTGTCCCACTTAGCAAAGGAAACAATTTTCTTTCTTTCTTCTTAATAAGGGTGATAAACCTCAGTCATGGTCCATTCTTTTATAGCATTACCATTATTATCATTATTTTCTAAAGGTTTGAACCAGCCAAAGTTATCAGCCATTGCAAATAGGCACATACATACACAGAAACCTTTATGACTGTTATAGTAGCCACATACCAGAGCTGTGTGTCTAAAAGTGTGCATTCACATATTGTTAGGGGACGGTATCTGTTCTGCAAGATCCTCTGCTTTTGGTGCCATGGAGGGAGGGCGGGAGGAAGCCATCTCAATAACTGCATTGTGTTCAGGAGCTGAACTGCCTCAAACCAGTTTCAGCCGGTTCTGGTCACCCTACGTCGAAAGCTATGGCAACCCTCACTGAGTTGCCAACAAATCCTGAAAACCAGAGTGGTTCGGTTGTTTTCTTCTCTGGTGTGAAGATAATTTTAGTTTGGTTTCTCCCCCCCAGCCCATCCCCTGCAATTTCAATCACAGCCCCTTACACTGAGAGAATGAAAGAGAGACAGAGAGACAGAAACATTTGATATTTTTAGCTTTTTCTCTTTGCCGTCCAGAACTTACCTTCCAAAACCTGGCTGAAAAGCTGTGTATGTCTTGAAGCTAACAAAGAGAGACCGCAGTTGTTGGTTGTTGTTGTTTTTTTTAATGCTCACAGGATCTCCTTTGCTGCATGAAGGATACTCGGCCACAAGAGCAAGCAAACCCCCCCACTTCCACTTCTGTTCCCCAAGAGAGGGAGATGCTTCAATTGAGTGACATACTTTCCTATGCACTCTCAACATTGGGGCATTTACAAGCCGGATTTCCATGTTCTCAGACCCCACATCTATAGAACATTTGGAGTGGCTATAAAATAGTCCTTGCTCTTCACAAAGGACTTATGGCCAACCTTGTCTATCCACTTCCAAGTCACTAGTAACTTACATGTATCATAGCAACAGTTGTTACAACTACAAGGCCTTCTCTTCACTTATGCAAGACTCCTTCCTCACAAGATGTCCACCCTGTCATGCAGAAGTTCCATGTGCCTCATTGAGGTTCATCTCTATATAATATTAGATAATGTCAGCAAATGTTGTTTTTCTGCAATTGGAAGCAAGGTGCCATGAGAAGTTGACTCACCTTTCTGCAATATTAAAATACAGATGCCCGTAACACACCATTTTCCAAGTTGGTGTTTTCTAGATGTGTTGGAACAGCAGCTTTCAAAATTCCCAGTCCTAACCATAATTCCTTCTTTGTGGAAGGAATTCCTTATTTCTGCCTGGCATCGTTAACTACAGCATTCACATTTTCATTCAGAGATCTTCCTTCCTTCTTCTCCTTACAAAATGGCTTCCAAATTCAACCTTAACAGCAGTAAGATTCCTAAATTTCTATAGACTAAAACCTCTTGTTTCCATAATTCAAAACCTCCTCAACGGCAGATTTTAAGCTAGAAAAGAGTCTTATTCTGTTTGTCTCCTCCAAGAATTACGGATTACACATAATCATTCTGGGTAGCTTTCCAGTCATTTACTGGTTGTTGTTATGGGAGTTTTGGCCCAGTGAATATGGGAAAAATATAGCTCCCAGCTTCTCTCACCACCAATCATAGTGATGGGACTGTTGTTTATTGTACTTCAACATCTAAAAAGCCAGAATTTCCCAATGCCAAACAATCACGGCCATTCAACACAAAAACAGAAGCTACCATTTTGATAAAACTGCTTATTGCCATTCAGTAGTTTCTGCCATCATTACACAAATGCACCCTATGAAAATTTAAGTATAAATTACCATAAACTCTTACCCTTCACTTCTCAGTCATATTATAATGGCAGGACTGATTTGCTGGCTGCCTCTGTAAGAAGAAATGCAAGTACTAGTGTTTGGCTGCAACAGTACATCAATCAAATATACAGCATTCCATCTCACATCGTGGTCCACCAAATGCATTCAGGAAGCACACAAATAGGACCACAACAGACCCCTCCTTTCCTATTGTGTGTCACATCTCTGGTCTCCACACCTCAGGAGAGATATTATGGAACTGAAGAAGATACAGAATAGGACAATCAAGATGATCAGGGGGCTTGAAAACAAGATAGAATGATTGGTGAAGTTTGATTTAGAAAAAAAGAAATACAAACATTATAATTAAGGTTTTTTAAGATTATACATGGTAAAGAAAGACTAAACTGGGGAAAGTTTTCCCATCTCCCATAATACTAGAACTAGAGGCCACCCAATGAACATAATTAGTAGATTTAAAAATAATAAAAGGAAATATTTGTTCATGTAGCATGTAATCAACATTAAATAACTACTGCAAGATCTGATGCTGGCCATTATTTTATGTTTGTCAAATGAAGATTAGACATACTCTTAAAGGACAGTTCAGTCAAGGTCCTCTGGCTCTGATGAATGGACGTAGGGCAGCTCACTTTTAAGTATTAGGTCCAGAGCAGCAATAATGGGAGAGGAAAGCTCCACTGATTTCTTATCCTATCTCTTCTTAGATACATTTGATAAACTACCACATCAAATGGAATGATGGTTAAAAGGGTTTAAGCCCGATCTACAAGCTATTCTCACGTTCTTAAATATAATACAGAGATCTGTCTCACAAGGAAGCCCAGATTCACCTCATGCTAATCTTCTGACTCTACATTTGGATTCAACCAACTCCTTCACAAAGTTCTGCTGCTCAATAGTGCTCAACACAGAGGAACAATTTTGCAATGGCAACGATTCCACCAAACAACTGTGACATCAGACATACATTTCTCCATTATATTTTCCCTACTATTATCACTTTCTCAGCAAGCCGCACCCTTTTATGTATCACTGTCCTTCTGTTCCCGTGCAAATATCTCCACCTCACAAATATACAAACATTGTTCTGCATAACCATAACCAATGATCGACCTATAGATTAGTGGAAGTGTCCAGTCTTACAAGCAAAAGGACCAGTTTCAGCCTCTGTTATCTCCTGTTACGTGATGGTAAAGACCATTGTTGTAAGAACTGGGAGATGGACAATCAGAACAGATAAAGTTTCCTGAACTTATATTCTCCATGGGAACTGAAATTGGAGGACACCAGCTTGAAGACATCAGTTTAAGGAGGGCTGGAGAGCATACTGAAAAGCTAGATGGACCAGTACAGTGGACTGGAATAATGCAATTATTTGAATATTTGCAAATATCCAGCTGCTGTTTGCAGAGCAACTTCTCCATGTTGGTGGTAGTAATGAATGGAAAAAACACCCAACTTAGAGTTATGCCAAATATGTGACTCCCACATTATTGTTACATCCCTATTATAGCTATCAACATGGAAAACAATCTTGTCACTGGCACTTGTGTTCACCATCTCTGCATTGTGCAACCATAACCATCTAGAAATGAGGCTTTGGCATCACACATTTACTACATTGTTATCTCATATTCTTATCCGAAGGGTTATGTCTACAAAAGAGAGTTTCCCTTCAATAACTCAAATAGGCAGTGACAAATAAGGATTGGCTCAAACTCTTCTACCTAAGTGCATTTCAATCTCAATCACTCTGTGTCAAGAGTGAGATTCTATCCACCCAAAAATATTAATTTCAAAATTCAGATAACTCAATCACACATCTAGAATCTTAATTCTTTTGTTTCCAGTCCTGTGGCTACGAATATCTGGAAATAAAAGTTGATCATCACTTTCACCAAGCAACTAATAAATGGGTCAAGACCACCCAATTCCCTAAGCACCATGGTATCTCTTTGCTCATGCTTTGTCATGGGGAGGGGAGATAACATGACTTCCCAACTTGACACCCTCTAGATGTCTTGTGATTATAATAGATATGTTTGGTTGGGCCTACAACAATGTAAAGACAATGTGACCTCTTCCATGTGGTCTTCCATATCTGATTTGGGGCCTGTCTTAGCTCCAACATGTACTTCAACATCTATATAAATGTTTTAAATAAATAAAAGCTTATTTGGTTAACAAACTATTCTTTTTTACAGGCAGATGGCCAAGAACCACAGCCAGAAATAAAGGAAGTAAGGTGTAGCTACCTAGATTTAACTATAAGGGAAAACTTAATGATCACATCTCTGGTCGACCTATAGAGCATGTGGGTTCTCCATCTTTGGAAACGTTTAAGAATAATCTAGACAGGCTGCTCTCGTAACCAGTTGTTTTTCCTGCATGTTGAGAAAAGCCTTTAACCGGATGATATCCGTAGCCCCCTCCAACTCTAAATTATCTGATCCTCTCTTCCCACTTTCACGTCTTTCCAACAAGGCTGAGAGGGCCAGCAAAAAAGCTACCCAGCATTACCTGAGAGAAATCCTCAGTGAAATTTACTGGAGCTTCCAGCAAATGGGCACAGGCTTGGCTGATGCTCTGGGGAGGGCAGGATGAGGGCCTGAAAAAGTCACCCCATGGATAATACCCTTGCCAGCAATGCCCTACGCTCCCGGTGGCCCTGCTGGGCTTTGCAGAAAGAGACAAAACAAGGCTGCTTTGCGGGGAAGAAGGAAAGCGCCTCTGCCAAGCACCGCTGACCGAGGCCTTGCTCAGTCAACCATTTCTGCGGCTGCGAACCAGCTCTTTACGGCTTCCAAGCGGGCGCGCTGAAAACCTCAAGCCAAACGCTCCAGCAGCCCCAAGGCCTCCCCGAGCTCCAGCGAACCCAAGGTGGCCAGTCCTCCGCCGAAGCCGCCTCTGAAAAACTGGGACTGCGTCTCCGGCCTAATCTTCGGCGCCTGCGCCGGGACGCGAGCGTGGCTGCTTTTCCCCTCGGCCGGCGAGAGCACCAGCGGCCTGCCTGGCCCTTTCCAAGCTGGTTCCCGGTCCTCTTTCCGCGGAGGCCGCCGGCGCTTAGACTCCAGCGGGGAAGCTCTAAAGCTTGCGGGCTCCGAGCGGAGCGAGAGGCGACCGCGGCAGCAGCGGCGGCGGCTCCTCCTCGTTGTGCCTTTGCGGGGCTCGGCGATGAGCCATAGCCGGGAAGGGAGCTGGCTGGAGAAAAAGATGTGTGCCTCTCCCCCACACCACTACCCAGGCCTGTGTGTAGGCTCTGCAGCAGCCAGGCCCCGGCAGGGTGGACGGAGGCGAGGAGAAAGGACTCTCGCTCTGCCCCTCGAGAGATGGGCATCTGTATCTCTGCAAAGAGAGCCCGAGAGAGTCTGATCCCCGCTTCCCAACCTCGCATGCAAACTCTTCATCACCCCCATGCAAACAGACCTGCTGCTGGTGGTAGCTTTTGGGCAAGAGGCCAGGGTGCTGCCACGCGGGGAGGGGCCGATCCTGCCAGGGTGTTTTTCAGACAGACATGTTTAAGGGTTTCCTCCACCCCGCCAAAGGGCGCCTGCAGCCAGCCAGAGGCCTGGCTTTTAAAAGATGGTTGCACATAAAGGCAGGCAGGCAGGCAGACGCAGGGAGAGCGAGCCTTTTGCAGGGACGAGGAGGGAGGGGGGAAAGGTGGGAGCGGTGGGGGCTGCCTCTCTAGCTTGGGAAGAAGAGGAATGGATGGGCTTGGGCTTGGGCTTGGGCTTGGGGGGGGGGGAAGAGCTCTCCCCTGTGGATTCAATTTAAAACTTGCCACTGGAGTGTGAAGAAGAAATGGTGGAGGAGGAGGAAGAAGGGGGGAGGAAAAGATCCCCCCCCCAACGGCCATTATTAGTGGTTCTTCTGAAGCTTGCCTTCCTTCCCCTCCCTGTCACTTGATAAATCAGGGATTCCCTCTTGTGCAGAAAGCAGAGAAAAAGAGGTGGTTGTTTTTTAAAAGGGATTCAACATCCCCCCCCCCTTCCCCTTCCTCGGCATGTTTTAATTACCGGTGAGGAAGAAAGGAGCAGCTTGAAAAAAAAAAAAGATCTGCAGTCGTTCTTTGCTGCAGGGGTAGAAGGGAAAAGCTGATCTTTTTTTTTGGTTCTCCTAATTATTAAAAAAATCTACATATTTTTTATCCTAAGTGGAAAAGGGAAGGGTGGAGGATTTAAAAAGAAGTATGTAGCCCTGCAAGGGATATCTCAGTTGACTTTTGCAACTGAAAAACCAATAAAACAGACTGATCCACAAAAACATGGGTGATGATAAATGAGAGGGTCCTTAAGGATTGGGTGCCGGATGAGGTGCCGGTGGCTGCTGCCCTCTTCCTTTGTAGCCCTCAGATTTTGTGCCCCACCTATAGTTCCAGTCATGACTCAGGCCCAAGTGCTATTCTCTGCAAATAAAAAAGCTCAGGGCTTGGTTTGGAAATGAGGCCATCAGCTTCAGAAAGAAAGAAAAAGGGAGGGAAGGGTGTATGAAGAATTTTGGGGATTGGGACCCCCCAGAATTATTTTCATGGCAGGGAGGAAGGGAGGAAGGAATCTGCTTGATCACATGCAGTGAAGGGGGAGCCTGTGTCAATTGATTCCATTTTGAAACTCCTTTTACATCTTCTGCTCCCTTGTAATTTATTCTGAGTTCTGCACTGCGGAACTAGAGCAGAGTTTGATCTCTTATTAAATATTACTAAGATATCAGAAGGGTGATATTATATCTCTCTGATTTTTCAAAGAAAAACAGACCATCTCTTTCTTCATAGATTTTAGTTGCTTGTCCTTTGCTCATCCTTGCTGAACTTCTCTGAGCTTATCTGTATTTGACTGAGTCCTTGACAAAAAATAGCCCCAGAACTGGGCCCAGAGGTTCAAGTGGGAACAGAGTGAGGTAATTTGGAAATTACATTACTGTGGATGCAACATGTTTTTAAATTCCATGTGTGCCTACTGGCCCAAAAGTTGGAAAGCTTGTTTTAACCTGCTCAAAAGCTCTGTTTTACTGCAGCCAACACTGGCTTTACAATGTTTCTTTTCAGTAAGAAAACAAAATGTTACGTTGGAGATAACATTTGTTTAATCAAATTAGGAAGTCACACTGCTTAAGTGAATTTGGAAACATGTATATTTCTCCCCGGGAAGAAGGTGGGAGGTTGTGGAATAAGAGAGGAGGCAGATACTGGGAAAAATAAATCAGTCTGAGGTGATCTGAGTGAGAGTTCCTCTTTAAGGGTGTTTGCAACCAACTGCTTTATTGTTGCCTTGCCTCAGTGTTATTTCAATTGATGTAAGAGCATTGCCAGTATTAAAATACCTTCATGGTAAATCTGTCTTAGTTTTGGCAAAGCTCTTAAATAAAAGGAGAAGGAAGATGTTTTAAATCATGTTCATTACCCATTTACACAGGGTTTTTTTGTTTTGTTTTTTTGAAATTTGATTCCATGGAGACAAGAAACACACTGTACAGATAGTCCTTGACTTATAACAGTTCATTTAGTGACAGTTCAAAGTTACAACGGCACTGAAAAAAGTGACTTATGACCATTTTTCCACACTTAACGACCATTGCAGTGGTCACATGATCAACTGACTCATATTTGTGACGGTTGCAGTGTCCCAGATTCATGTGATCACCTTTTGCAACCTTCTGACAAGCAGAGTGAAAGGGGAAGCCAGATTCACTTAACAACTGTGTTACTAACTTAACAAATGCCACGATTCGCTTAACAAAGGGGAAGAAAGGTAGTAAAAAGGGGTAAAACTTACTTAATAACTTGTCTCATTTAGCAATAGACATTTTGGGCTCCAATATAGTTGGAAGTTGAGGACTACCTGTGTTGCTTTGCTTTGCTTTATTTCATTATTTCATTTCATTTTGCTGCTGCTTCAGTTTATCTGGCTCCTTCTTCTATAGTTAACCTCCATGTCACAACTAGAAGTTGCATTCATTTTCCAGAGAGAAGGACGAAGGGGGACATGATAGCAGTGTTCCAATATCTCAGGGGCTGCCACAAAGAAGAGGGAGTCAAGCTGTTCTCCAAAGGAGAAACTTCCTGACAGTTAAAACAATTAACCAGTGGAACAACCTGCCTCCAGAAGCGGTGAATGCGCCAACACTGGAAGTTTTTAAGAAAAAACTGGACAGCCATTTGTCAGAAATGGTATAGGGTTTCCTGCCTGAGCAGAGGGTTGGACTAGATGACCTCCAAGATCCCTTCCAACTTTATTATTATTATTATTATTATTATTATTATTATTATTATTATTATTACTATTATTATTATTACTATTAAGCACCTGAAGGCAGGACAAGAAGCAATGGATGGAAACTAATCAAGGAGAGAAGCAAACTAGAACTAAGGAGAAACTTCCTGACAGAACAATTAACCAGTGAAACAACCAAGCGGTGAATGCTCCAACACTGGAAGTTTTAACGAAGAGACTGGACAGCCATTTGTCCGAAAGAGTATAGGGTTTCCTGCCTGAGCAGGGGGTTGGACTAGATGACCTCCAAGCTCCCTTCCAACTTTATTATTATTATTATCCAGTTCATAGCAACTGTTGGGTTAGGGATTAGATCTGTTTTGCCTCTTACCCCAATATTATTAACATTATCAGAAAGAAAGCTGTTTCTGCCATTGCCCCCATCCTATTTAAACTCTTGCTTCCAGGGTAAGGCTGGTCCCACTCTTCTGACCTGGAAGAGTGGGAAGATCAGTCTCTGCCAACTGGCATTGGGGTCTAACAGTGGTATACAATCTTGGGAGTGGTTGGTGGTTTGAGGGTACTCCCTCCACCTTTTAAACTCTGCTTTTAACTCTTTTTAACTCTGTTTAATTGTGTGTTTTTATATGGTTTTACGTCTTTGATCTGCAACTCCCCAGATGTATGAATATGATAACGAAATCAATAAACAAATAATCTTATTTTTTAATGTCCATATGCAGGCATACTTCCAATGATTTCTGATAAAAGTTAAAGGTAGATTCAGACAACAACTGTTCTACAAGTATATGCATGGTTTATCCTCATAAAAACTTTATGAAATTGATATATCTGGCTAAATTACCCAGTGTAAAGACACATTGGAGAGGGATCACATGGGAGGGAATCCAATGTTTTATGAACCACTGTAGATGTGAAGTTCTGGAAAACGTGGTCTACTCTGTTGGCGATGTCAAAATCTGACACGATTGCCAGAACAAAAGTAGGATTCAGAAAGAATAAGCTCTGCCCTCCCAATACAGATAGTCCTCAATTTAGGACCCCAACAGAGCCCCAAATTTCTGTTGCTAAGTAAGTCATTTGTTAAGTGAATTTTACTTAGATTTTACTATTTTACTATTTTATGATCTTTCTCGTCAACAGTTTTTAATTGAATCATGACAGTTGTTAAGATAGTAACACGGTTGTTAAGTGAATCTGGCTTCCCCATTGACTTTGTTTGCCAGAAGGTTACAAAAGGTGATCACATGACCTCAGGACACCATTTGCCAAGTGGCTGAATTTTGATCACATGACCATGGGCATACTGCAACGGTTGTATGAGTCACTTTTTTCAGTGCCATTATAACTTTGAACGGTCACTGAATGAACTGTTGTAAGTTGAACTGTTGTAAGTTGTAATTTACCATGGTGAAGAATAAATGTGGTCCATTTCAGACAGAGCTTCAGGATTTTTTGTGCAAAATACAGTTGGTTACAGTATAAGGAGCATGTGAAAGGTGGTTATTTTAGACTTCAAAGATTATAGAGACTGAAGCAGAAGTGGAAGAGATTTATTTGCAAATCTTTTTCATAAAATAAATTGGTTCCAGTCAATTAACTAACGGTTCATAAAATATGTCACACAATTGCTAGGATCTAAGACTGGGCAACAATGAGGTAGAATGACACATTTACTCCCAAGATGTTGCAGTTGGTACTAAGCCCAAGTAGGAAAATGAATATTTTTATCAAGTTACCCCACTCTACTTTGAAATTTGGGTTTGGCCAAAACTGAGACATACTCCTAACTTTTATATTGGTTCTAGACAACTGGCAGATTACTAAGTAACTTATTAAATTAATATTTGTAAAAAAGTTACCTTTATTCACTGTATCTGTCTTACAGTTATATATGTAAGTTTAATTTCACCAACTCATGTAGATTTTCTCATATTTGCAGAAATTATTTTGTCTGACTTATCTGATCTACATAAAGACTGTTTTCCATGTGAAAACTGTCTAAACATCTCTGGTGCCTTACAGAATGTGTCCTGAAGAGTCTAATCTTGCTTCAAGATTTTCAGGAACGACAGAGTTGTTACAGATGGATTTTATGTTGGTCTATAAGATTCAAAAATGTGGAACAAAAACATAAATGTGTTGAGTGGGGATAGATTCATCCCGAAAGTTTTCTTCTTCCATTTACGTCACGGAGTTCACTGAGATTGCCATCTCATGGCAACCAGGCAGTCAACATAGAACATTGCAACATGAAGAGTGATTCCTGAAGATCTTGGCAAGAAATGAGGGCATAGAACAGGGGTCTTCAAACTTTGCCCTTTTATGATTTGCGGACTTCAACTCCCAGAAATCCTCAGAGAGGCACGCTGGCTGAGAAATTCTGGGAGTTGAAATCCACAAGTCATAAAAG